TTTATCATGATTTATGCATTTGGATTTAGGGATTGTCAAGGTCATTCAGGTTGTGGTGAAGTCAGTGGTAGAGTGTGATTGTGTTTAGCAACCTTCAGCTCTGGGTGGTGCCAAAAGTATAATATATCTTGTTTAGTTGTTAGGATCTGTGGTATGCAGGCCAGTCTGGTGTCCTGGCCTAGATTTAGGCTTTCAGGCCAGTTCATGTAAAGTAGAACACAGCAGTCCAGTGTTTTGGCCAGGTTCTGTATCAGGGGTAGGACGATTCCAGTCACTCATAGTGGAGAGCTCTTTCGGACCCGAGCCCTGGACTGGCATCTGTTTCTTGGGGAGCCGGAACCACATTCCTACACCTGATTCTCATTTGAGCCCTGAGGAGAAGAGTGCAAGTTTCTCCTCTGCATTAATGGGAGGTTGTCCCTGCCCAAATCCTGAATTGGGACAGGCATGGGTCTGACAGGGAGTGGGTTCCCACAGGGTTGTGTTGAGATTGTCCCCACTGGAATCCTGGACTGGTTTCTTCTTGGTCCTGAAATGGAGTCTACTTTCCATGGAGTGAGGAGCTGGAGCCCTGGACTGGCAGGCACTTGGTGGACTTATTCTTGCTCAGTCCCAGTCAGGGGTAGGAGGTACAAGGGCTGGGTTCAGATCTCTAGGGTAAGAATAAGCGTTGGAAAGAGCAGATTTCCATCTGTCATTGGTAATCGTGGAGAGATTGTTCCCACTGTCTTTTAGGAGATCAGGTTTTCTGTTGGCAGCCAGGGCCACAGAATTCCATTGCCCCACCACTATTGGTGCTGGTGGCCTTCCTTTGAAAGGAGACAGGAAGATGTGGAAGGGCTCTTGCCTCTTTGCCCTTTTCAAGTATGGGGTTCTTTCTCAGGTGTGAAGGTGGGGCCAAGCACTCTGGATCATCACCAATGCTTGTTTCCCATGGGAGGGGTACCTGGTGGGGTAGTCACAGTTCCTGGCATTTGTTTTGAGCTGACTGGCAGCATTGTAAAGGTTTTCTGCATCTGGGTGCAGTGGTCTCATGATCCTGATATGTGTCATTGTCTGAGCTGCTCTCATGGTTTAATTGAGTTGGTGTGGGATGGGGAGTGGTAGGAAAGCACTTCACAGTTTTCCATCCTTGTGTGTGTTAGGTAGAAGTTCTTCGATTCTTCTTATTTGCTGTCTGTTTATATATTTCTTCTCGTTGATCTCTTGGTGTGAAGTGCATGTTAGAGCCCTAAATCTCTGTTTGATTAGAGAGAGCTAGGGTGATTCCCTATTGCTTCACTGCCTTCTTCTCAGCATGACTTTGCTTTTCTAAAGAGTTAAGTGTGTATGTTCTTGGCTAAAAAATGCTGAAATGATGCAAACTAATTTATGCAGAAAATAGTATTTTTCTATGGAAATTAAGTTAGAGTAGTTCTACTTGTTTAAACTAATTTCAGAAGTGTTTAGTCATTTTATTAGTAGGGAAAATTGATGAAATACTTGGGGAAATGCTGCAGAACAGTCCTTGTGGAAACCTGTGATTAATAAGGAAAAAAGGAGAAGGAAACACGTGCTAATCTGTTTACCTATAAGATATCTGAAGCTTATTAAAAGTTTGTATAAGTGTTCAACTAATGAAGCATTAAATAAAATTAGACATTTTCTTTAAACTGTAAATTCCTAATGTGGAAATAAATCTTGAGTATAATTTCTAAATAGCTGACTTGTGATATTTCCCTAACACTAGTAATTTACATATGAAGAATTAATTTAGTAATGTTAGTATTTGTTGAGTCCAAGCTAGGAAAAGAAATACTTAATCCCTAAATTCCCACAAAAGACACAAAATATGTTACTAGAAAGTTTAAGGCTGCTAAACAACCCCACTTCTAACAGGGAGAAAGAGAAGAATCCAGGCAAGATAGGAACATAATGAAGATTGAACTGAAATAAGACTATCGTTTTGGTCCTTCTGCCATCTTCCTTTTTCACAGCTGGACTTCAGGTTAAATATGAGAATTGGAGGGTTTACTAATGAGTATATCTCCTTTCTGTTTCCTGTAAAATTATGATCCAAAATATTTACTCTCATATTTATTTCCTCATTTTTTATCCTTCTTATTTCCTCATTCCTTTGCACTTCTGCCCTCATTTTTTTGTCAGGAAGATTTTGGTTTATCAGCTTATCTTTATCCTTCTCTACTTATCTGCAAGCTATAGTGGCCACAGTTTCCCCTGTCAGCTTTTCTGCTAACTTATTAGTAATAACTACAATTCTATTAGCATGTCACAGTTGATTCCTTGGGGAAGGTTTGTCTCACTCATCCTTGGTTCCTAAGTTTGTCTAAGAGTAGCATAAATAGTCTTTATTACCTTATTTTCTAATTGGACCAAATTTCTAACAGGCCAATTGTAACTCACACACATAAGATCAAGCCATTGTTTCATTTTAAACATTTTCTCCCTTTGGTGTGGTTCGAAATTTTCTCTGGGTCCTAAACTGTTACAAGTAATTGTATTAGGACTCAACTTAATGCTCCTCCCATCCCCTTGACTACTTACTTGGGCTCACAAATTAAGCAAATTTGCTTAATTTAGTAATGTTACTATTTGTCCAAGCTAGGAAAAGAAATACTTAATCCCTAAATTCCAAGAAAAGACACAAAATATGTTACTAGAAAGTTTAAGGCTGCTAAACAACCCCACTTCTAGCAGGTAGAAAGAGAAGAATCCAGGCAAACTTACAGGGCTCACAAATTAAGCAAACTAAAGGTTTCCCAGACCTCTCCATTTTGTGTCTATATCCTTGGTCCTCAGCTATTCTCTCCTGCAGTACTTTGCTGGCGTTTTAGAATCCAGGAATGATCTGGTTGCCTGCCACATTTCAAGACCTCTCATTGTCCCAAGGCCCTGTTTGAACATTCTTTTGACAATAGACTGTCAGAGCACCTGACGCTACCACCTAACATACCTGTATCTTGGATCTGTTTGAACTGTACATACCTACTCACCACTTGCCTTCAATTCTTCCTATGTCCCCTTAAGATAAAATGTGTTTTACACCTACCCCCAAAGTCCTGTCTTCCATTGACTGTAATATAGTAAATCTTCCTCTAACTTTCCTGATGTCTTTTTATTTGTCATATAGGTAGGTACAAGTTGCTAGACTGATGTGGTTCTCCTAGAGTTTGATTCTGGGGTTTAAAACTTCTCGTTTCATATTTGTTTTAGAGATTCATTGAAATAAGAAAAGTAACTTCCAGCAATAGTCCAGACACATTTCCAGTTCTCTACAGTACAGACTGGGCTGAGGACAATGACTCATATCTTGGCTCAAATAAATTGAAGGGAGAAAGAATTATTCTCTCCAACAGCTTTGACTCCAAACTAAATACATTGTATCTTCATTACATTTACTATTCTTTGCTAATGTTTACATATCTTTAATGTCATTGCTCTTTTCTTCTGATTTCTTTGTCCTGGTAGAGATCACAGAAGAAGTAACAAGGTATTATATGTTTTTGTTATCTCTAAATCTGAGTATCACATTCCAGACCTGACATGGTAAAGTCATCAAGCCTGACTTGGCCACAATTTTTGCATCAATGTATTGTGAATACAAGTATCTAATCTACAGGATTCCTGGGAGGGAGAAAAGTAGCTTATACATGTAACACAATTCACACATAATGTCTATTTTTCCTCTATTTTCCCTTATCAACTCTAGATAAAACTATAGATCTCTGTACATTCATATACAGTAACCACACTAAAGGCAAACAAAACTCTAAATTATCAAATGTATAATAAGTATGCTAGCTTAGAGCCTAGTCAAGTTCTTGGAATAGCACATGGTACATAGCAAATATTCAGTAAATGTTATATATTTAGATGTTCTATATTTTATTATTTCATAAACTTAAACTTCCTCTCTATATATTTTAAATTTGAACTACTCAAAATGCTTATTACTTAGGTTTCTAAGCTTGGAAATGTTTTTGGAGCACAAGTTAAGGTAGAATACTAGACATTGTTATGAATAGGCAAGAGATACTTCAGCATTGATCCTGTGTTTTATGCAAATCAGAAGTGAAGATGGCCTATGTATCTGTGCTTCCTGAACACTATATCATTTTATGCTTATTCCTCTAGCTTTTGCTCTTATTTTCCCTAAATATGTAATTATAAATTAATCCTGAAAATCACAACATGTATAAGATTGGTTTCTTGTGCCAAAGACCCTGAGGAAAAGAGTCTAAAGTAAGATAACATCTATTCTTCCTAATGTAAATCTTGGCTATCTTGCATGGGAACTCAGTGATTAAAGGACCCAAGGTCTGGCTTAATTATTGTCTTGAATTCTTTACATTTACATACTCCTTGGTCCATAATGGCTGAGCTCCCAGCTTGATATTACCAATCCGTTTTACTAGTAAGGAGAAAGAAACAAAAATGGTGAACTTCCTCCTTTTATATATCTCCCAGAACTGTTTTTCACATTTCATTTTATTCATTCATTAGAAATGAGGCAGATAAACACATTCCAGTGCAGAAGTGAACAGAAATTTTCTTCTTTATCCTGAGTGGCCTTATGAGCAGTTAACGTTTAGGGATTGTGCCAGGCACCAGTAGCTCTTGACTCTAATCGTACAGGAGGTTGAGAGTTGAAGCTGCTGATTCAGAGACAGTCAAGACAGGAAAGTTCATAAGACTGTTATCTCAGTTAATCACCTAAAGCTGGAAATGGAGCTGTGGCACAGGTGGTTAGCTGTGGTGCTAGCTTTGAATGAAAGTCAAGTCCCAGTACTGGGGTGCATGTGCACATGCGCACCCCTCCTAGGATCTCCCCCTCCCCAGCCCCACACACAAAGGGTTTAGGGATTGTATTATTGCAGAAGGAAAGAAGACTAGGTTTTGGGAAAAAGTAGATATATATGTGATACTTGGGCTTCACAGATAGTTTATGTTTTTTTCCTCTTATGTTCTGTTTCTTCTTTTCCTTAAAAAAAAATATATAGATCCCATGCGTGGCCCCAGAAAGCTGGAAGTAGTAGAGGTCAAATCTCGACAAATCACCATCCGGTGGGAGCCATTTGGATACAATGTAACTCGTTGTCATAGTTACAACCTCACCGTTCACTACTGTTACCAAGTTGGAGGACAAGAGCAAGTGAGAGAAGAAGTAAGCTGGGATACAGATAATTCCCACCCTCAGCACACAATCACTAACCTGTCACCCTACACCAACGTCAGCGTGAAGCTCATCCTCATGAATCCTGAGGGGCGGAAGGAAAGTCAAGAACTCATAGTGCAGACAGATGAAGATGGTGAGCACTTTTAAATGATGCATCTGTGTCAATTATGTTTTTTCAGTAGCAACTTTTATTTCTTTTAGTCTGAGAGGTTTATAGTGACAACAGAAGGAAGGATTGCTTTGCCAACTAATAGAAAAGTGTGTGTTCCACTGCTCTGTATTCTTAAACACTGTCTTCAATAGAGGGAATGAAGATGTAGAAGTTAATTTTAATTCTTTGTTGGCTATATAGTACTTTTATATTTATTTCTGATTCTATATTCCTCTAAACGTTTCTGTCAGGTTTTGCTAAAACATTGAACTGAAAATTTGTTTGGGGGAAATGAGATGAGTTATATGAAATGCTTATTCTAAAGTATTTGAATGGCATTCTGAAACATTTTCTCTACTGCCCATAAAAGTTCAGCTCAAAATAGAGGCTGCTGCTACTTTCAGTGCAGTACTCACAAGTCTTGCCATTGAGTTGGCTGTCACAGAATGAGACATTTTCCCCATGTGGAAAGTGTTACAAATAGATTTCAGGTTAATAAACAAAAATGTAGCAAATAAACCGTGCATATCACCAACAACTCATCATATAAACTCTCTGAAGGGCTGGGAAGGTGGCTCAGTGGTAGAGCACTTGCCTTGCATGCATGAGGCCCTGGGTTCGATTCCTCGGCACCACATAAGCAAAAAGAGAAAAGCTGGAAGTGGCGCTGTGGCTCAAGTGGTAGAGTGCTAGCCTTGAGCTGAAGAGCTGAGGGACAGTGCCCAGGCTGCCCAGAGTTCAGGCCCTATGACCTGACCCTCCCCCCCCCCAAAAGAAAACTCTCTGAAATAATTTAAAATGATTAAAAAAAAATAGTCCTTGAAACCCAGAGCATAGGGTTCAGATGTACTTTTGCCCAATTGTACATAGAACTTGGTTTTTAATAACTTGTTCATTGTTCATGAGGTACCTAAAATATAATGCCAGCATAAAATTCATCTTTCAGACATCAAACTAAGTGGCAAAAAACTTGGGGAGTTCATTAAATGGATAAATTTTTTCCTGGGAAAAATAGATGTTAATCTATTTTTGTTTCTTCATGCAACCAGTTAGGGTTTTGGTAATTGATTTTGATTACTTATTAAATTATGAATAAAATAGGCAGACTGACACTTTGTGGGATATTTATTAGTTTTTGTTGTTGATTGTTTTTGGTGCTAGTACTGAGGCTTGAACTGGGGCTTCACATTCCTGCTTAGCTTTTTCTCTCAAGGCTGATACTCCAATACTTGAGCCATACTTCCACATCTAGAATTTTGGTTAATTGGGGGAAAAAGAGTGTTATAGACTTTCCCTGTCTGGGCTGGCTTCAAATTGCAATCCTCAGATTACAGACTGTTGAGTAGGATTACAGGTATGAGCCACCAGCCACCACTGACACTTTGTATTTTTAAGAGCTAGTAAAGTGTGTTTGAATGTTTATTACCTACTTACCTACCACTGGGCACTTTGGTTGATGTAGCAAGACCTTGAAACAGCCCATGTATATGGGCCGTTCACATTATTTCCTTTATTTCTCCTTTGTCCATTATATTCAGCTTTTGTTGCTTACTCTCAAATAGTTATTTTTGGTCATCACTTGTTACAAGTCACAAGGTCAGGACAGGAATCCTTATGTTTTTATTACCTCTTGTTCCTGGGATACAGGTGAACACTGTCAAGAGATTATTGCTGGCCCCTTGTTACGTGTATTTCCAAAATTATTCTGGGCCTATATTTTGTTTCTACTTAGTTTATTCTTTTCTCTCAACTTCCACTACCAGTATTTTTTTATGTTAAATTTCTGGCATTATTTCTAACCTTTGAGGTCCTTGCCTTCTCTGATACTAAGGGACCACTCTTCACTCATGAAACTAATTTTTAAAATGTACCTCTCTAAGACTTTTCAGTGGCTTGTCCTCTTTATCTGGAAGCTTTGGCTTTCAAAATCTTCTAGAATCTTGACTCACACTCTAGAAGTAATAACTTTCCTCTCCGGTAGCCTGTTCTCATCACTACGTATCTTGAATGTCACGCCCTTTGCTTCCTGGACTTTCTTCTCTGTTTTCTTCCTCCTTCTTTGACTTTCTCCTTCATCCTGCCCTGTGCTCTTTCTCTTCGACTCCCTGGCTACTTCTCAAGTCCATCTCCTTCTCACACTCCAGAGTTCTCCCACTGAAAATGCTTCATGAAGCTGTCTCCAGCCCTGCCGCCTATTTTATACTCATGCTTCTGAACTCACTTGCACTTGATAAGACCCTGATCACTCTGAACCCTAATTTCATGCTACGAAAAATGAAAATAACTGTTCTCAGTCACATTAAGATTGTAAGAAATTTACATGCAAAGATAACTGTAACTGCTAGAGAGTTCCCTCTTAATTATTATCTTTAAACAGTTTTACAGAGGGATTTCAATTCAGTATGTCAGTTTATGAGAGCAATACATCACATCTTGATCAATGTCACCCTTCTGTCATTCTCTCCCATCTGTCTCAACCTCACTAAGACCTTCCAGTTACTGGTTCAGCATGGGAACTTCCTTAATACTTACTGCTGCTGCTATTGTAGTTGTTATAATTCATAGGAATGCTAACACCTGTTTATTCCTTCATTATGTTACATGTAAGTTTTCCATTTAAACTCTTAACTACTTCTAAGGAGGAAACATTATTTATCCTTCAATAGCAAAATGCATGGTATTGAGTAGGAAATAAACTCTCAAAAATACAAAACCAGTCCTTACATGAAATAGTAAAGCATATTAGCCCTTATACTGATAATAAAGCATTATTGGTCAACAGTTAATTCAGGTTTTAAACAGCATTAGTGGTTGAGCCAGAGAGTAATTAAATGCAGTCATTTCTAGAGACAAATCAGAGATGACTGCTCAACACTTTTGAGTTTCAAATTGAGAACTGACAAAGCCAGGATTCCTTTGAAGTCTTTTGATGAGGTCAGAATCACTTATTTTGTGTTTGTTTAAATTATCTCTCCACTCCTAGGAGCAAGGCTATACATTATTTACAAATAGAAAGCTATTGCTGTCATAGTACACCAGCATCCAGCTAATTAGAAAAACAATTACTGTAAATTACATTTTCTAACCAACCTACCAAATAAAAATAAAGCAACTTCAAAGACAATGGAGACAAGAAAATCAAATATAGAGTAACTGTGGAACAAATTGAAGTTTGAAGAGTAAAACACAAGATTCCTCTGTTTACTTACCTTTAACAAAGTTAAGCTTTTCTTCATTGCAGTTTTGATTTTTATCAGTGTGCGTGGGGGAAGAGGGGCATTAATTGTTAAGAATATTACTGGAAAGCAGTTGCCGGAGGAAGTACACATCTTTCATCCTAGCTGCTTAAGAGGCTGAGACTTGGAGTATAAAGGTTTGAAGCCAGCTATGGAGGAAAAGTCCAAGAGACTCTATCTCCAACACAAAGCTAAGCTGGAGACATGGCTTATGTAGCAGAATGCTAGCAAGCCAAGCTAGTGGGAGGCCCTCAAGTCCTGTCCCCTGGGATAGCATAGGCTAAATTACACAAGTTTACATATGTACATAGTCAAAGTTTAGAAAGATAGTATCTCTCTCATTTAATTAATTAATACTAGTGTTTTTAAAGTTCACTTTTTTATTCTTTATATTAAGAAATTTCATGAATACAATTAACATTTTCCTGTCAATATTTCAACAATGTTTTCAATTCCAAGGTCTCCCTAAGATATTTGAATCTGTTTATCCTTTAAGATGTTCTTTGATCAAAATAGTTTGAAAACTTCCATTTGATTTTACTATTATGTGCTTCTATCTACCAAATACATGAAACCAGTAAATAAGCATTTACTTATTTTAGCTGTATCTAAGCTAATAGATATTCAAATTGAAAATTACCTTGAAATAATAGATTCTCTCACATAATTCTATCTTCCTAATGTGAGCAGAGAGTGGCAACATGATAAATTCTTTCAAGGCAAGGATCAGTATTTCCTCAGTCACAGCCCACTGTACTTCAACTAGATGCTTGGTATCTTTTCTTAAGGATGACTTGCTATGGTCATAGATGAACTTTCTAATATTCTAGCTATAATGGTAATGTTCTGGGAACTCACCATTGTCATAACTGATTCATTACTTTGCTTTGCTTTGATTTGATTTGCTGTAGACTCCCATAGATTTCTTCAGCTTAGTGTGAATGCTTATGCACGTTTGTAAGTTTCCTACCTTAGGAATCATTTCACTCTAATTCTACTTTAGAAATGATGCAACTAAAATGCTAGGAGGCTTGGCAGTTTGTCTAAATTCCACAGCTTATGTCTAAATTCCACAGCTTAATTACTGGAGAGTCTTCAACCACTAAGTCCTGCAAAATGTAATAGTAATTTTTTTTCTTCTAAAACCTACATAGTACTTTAGAGTAACTGCAACGACTCCAAATCTAACTATTACAAGTATGCCTCAACTAAAAAGATGAGCTTGGATTTTAAAAATCTTTACTTCCCTTTGAACTTCCAGGCAGTATCTCCAGACTGGCATTCTTTCTGAACATTAAATAGACAGTTCATATCCACACAATCTAAAATGTTTCTCCAACCCTCTTTTAAAAAATCATTGTCAGTCACCAGTGGCTCACACCTGTAATCCTAGTTACTTAGAAGGCTGAGATCTGCCAGCCTAGACAGACAAAAACATTCGACTCTACTCTCCATTTAAAAAGAAAAATCCAGAAGTGAAGGTGTGGCTCAAATGGTAGTTTGCCAGCCTTAGGTGAAAAAGTTAAGCAAGAGCTAAAGGCCATGAATTCAACTCCAGTACTGGCATCTGCGCCCCCCCCCCCCCGAGTCACTGAAATATATTTATCCTTTAATTTGAGTTGCTTTAATTTTTTTTATTAGGAATTGGAAAGATTCTGTATTTTAGCACAAGTTTTTGAGCTGACATGCTTCTTTTTAGTTTTCTTGAGTGTTTATCTGGATAATCAATAGATACATCTAGGAGTGGGATTGCTAGTTATATTATAAATCTGTTTTGGACTATTTGAGAAATGGCCAGACCATTTTCAAAGTAGCTGTATGATTTTTCACTCCTTCCTGCATTGTATTAAGGTTATAATTTCTCTGTGAGTTTTCCAACTATCGTGTGTGTGTGTGTGTGTGTGTGTGTGTGTGTGTGTGTACCTTGTAAATCTTCTTTGAAGAACTATTTAGATCCTTTGGCTAACAATATTTCATTGTTTTGTTTTAATGTTTTATGTATTCTAAGTACAAGTCGATAAATGATTTGTCAAAACTTTATTCTATTCTATATGTTACCTTTTTCTTAAAAGTATCCTTAGAAACACTATAGCTTTCCATTTTAATGATGCACAGTTAATGTGTATTTTCTTCTGTTGTTTCTGCTTTGGGTACCAGGATATCTAAGAAACCAGTGCCTACTCTAAAGTCATGTAGGTTTCCACCAAAATTCTTTTCTAAAAGTTATTTAGTTTTAATTCTTATATTTAGGTATTGAGTCAATTTTGGTTTAATTTTTATATGTAATATGAGAGAAGAATTCATTTTTTTAAATACCTACATCATACACTACTAATTGGAATATTATTTTCTCCTCATTTTATTTTCCAGTAAGTCGGCTGAACCAAAACCCTACTGCCTTAATTGTTATAAGGTTTTTAATGTTTTAATGTTGTTGCTTTTTCTGTAGTTTCTGTTTTTGTTGTTTTGTAGTTCCTTATTTTTCTTTTGCTTTTAGACAATGTCTCTATATCACATGATAGCCTAGAACTTGTGATCCTCCTATCTCATTTCTGAGCATTGAGATTACAGGCATGCATAACCATGTCCAGCTGTTACAGGTTTAGAAATCAGGACATTTGAGTCTTCTGCAATAATTTTTGGATCACTCTATGTGCCATCCAATCTTTTTATCCTCCGCCCTGGAGTTTATGTATGTTATAGAGGTCCTTTCCTTTCTTTTCTTTTCTTTTCTTTTTTTTTTTTTTGTCGGTCGTGGGGCCTCAACTCTGGGCCTGGGTGCTGTCCCTCAGCTCTTCAGCTCAAGGCTAGCACTCTACCTTTTGAGCCACAGCGCCACTTCCAGCTTTTTCTGCTTATGTGGGGCTGAGGAATCGAACCCAGGGCCTCATGCATGCAAGGCAAGCGCTCTACCACTGAGCCACCTTCCCACCCCCTAGAGGTCCTCTTAATAAAAACTTACATGACAATTTGCTAAATTATGTACAAGTTAAGCAAATTCAAAGCCTATATTGAGAAAATTATAGGAAATAACATTTTTGCCAATACTGGGTTTGAACTCAGGGCCTGGGTACTGTCCCTTACTTTATTTGCTCAAGACTAGCACCCTATTACTTGAGTCACAGCTTCACTTCCAGCTTTTTGGTGGTTAAGTGGAGATAAGAGTCTCATGGACTCTTATTGAAGCCCGCTGGCTTCAATCCTCAGCTCTCAGCCTCCTGAGTTGCTAAGATTATAGGCATGCACCATCAGCACTTGGCCTGAAAATTAATACTTAAAAATAATGTTCAATTTTATTTTGTAGAAAATTGATAAAGAAATTTCCATGAAATTTTCCTAAATATTAATGATTTTTAAAAACCATATTGTGGTTGAATCTATATTAATTTCTATTCATTTTCAATAGATGTATCATTTTCATATATAATATATAGAGATGTGTATATATATGTATCTCTCTATATGTATATATAAATGTATATATATATAAATGTATACATATATTTATATATATTTAATATATACAGACATCTTTATATATGTATATATATAAATGTATACATATACATATATAAATATATAATAACATATATAAATGTATAATGTATAAATAATATATATAATGTATAAATAATATATAAATGTATAATAATATGTAAATGTATAAATAATATATATAATGCATAAATAATATATATAAATGTATAATAATATATATAAATGTATACGTATACATTTATATATATATATAAAGATGTCTGTATACATTAAATATATAAGTATATATGTATATATTCACACATCATACATATGTGTGAATACATATATATATGTGTTTTTAAATGTGTTGCCTTAGCTTGTCTTGAGCCATTGTTTTTCTGGTTTTAGATTCCAAGTAGCTTTTATATATAGTCTTTTTGACATGCATTTAACACTCAATATTATGGTTACAAAGTATATCCCTAGTGACTTATATAACTGTCATTTACTTTCAGTTTATTAATATTTTTGTCATGCGACTATAAGACAGTTTGTTAAATTCTTTGGCTTGTTGCCAGTTTGGTTTTTTTTTTTATTGTTGTTATTAAATGCACTACTATACTAGCATTTTAATATATGTTTCTTGATATCCATGTGCAAGAATTTTAGCAAGGAATATACCTAAAAGATTGTGTTAGTCATATTCTCGATGCATCTTCTTTTTTTCAAGATAGCATTTTACTATATGGCCTAAGCTACCGATGAACTCATGGTCCTACTTCCTGCCTCAGCCTGCTGGCATTACAGGGGTATCATCATGTCCAGCTTGGTCTAGGCATCCATCTTTAACTCTATCAAATGCTACCTGATAATTTTCCAAAGTGGCTTACCTACTTAACACTCCCACAAGCAGTGTGTGTGGACTCTGACTGTACCATATCTTCAGTTCTTTTATGAGAAAGCAAAGAACTTCACCTGAGCTAAATTGGCTATAAATCAGAGTGTTATCTATGGGCAATCAAAGCCTTATGGAGAATTAAAACTGAACTTTGACATTCTCTTCCTAATCCTTCTTCAGTCCCGGGTGCTGTTCCTACTGAGTCCATCCAAGGAAGTACCTTTGAAGAGAAGATATTTCTTCAGTGGAGAGAACCAACTCAAACATATGGTGTCATCACTTTATATGAGGTAGTATATACATTTGGTGGTAACTTTTCATGACATTTTGTAATGATAGTCTAGGATGTCTAGTATTTTAAAAATACATAATTTCATGATACCTACTAAGACATTTATTGATTTCTGTAGTTGTGGGTATTATATAAAAGCAATTTTGTGAGTGCTCGCACTAGGACTTGAGTTCTGGATTTTGCTTTTTTTGCTTGGTGTTTTCTCTCAAGACCAGTGCTGTGTCATTCAAGGCACACTTCCATTCAGGCTTTTTGGAAGGTAAGAGTTTCATGGGCTTTTCTGCCTGCGCTGGCTTTAAATCATGATGCTCAGATCTCAGGCTCCTAAATAGCTAGGATTATAGGCATGAGCCACTGGCACCCAACTTTAAAAAGAAAAAAAATTTAAATGACTTTTTAATAGCCATGTATAAACTCAACGTGTACATATGAAATGAGTTTGATTATTCTGGATTATATGTTATTCTATATTAAAAGCCAGTATCACATTTTTTTAAAGTGTCCATTATTAAAAACAGCAAGTATTTGGAAACACATGCTGATTAGGAAGCAAACACTGAATCCTATTCTTTCTTAGCTGTGAGATATGTTTCTTCTGAATTGTAAAAGAATAGTGATTATTCAATTAGCAGAGTCAGTAATAATTGTCTCAGGAATGATGATAGAATAATGTCTTTGGGTTCTTTGTATTAACAAACCATCCATGAGACTTCTTTGACATGGTTTTGTTGACTGAGCAAATCAAACAGTTGAGTGACAGACAGCAAAGAAGAATTTGATGAATTGTTCCAGGAAAAAAATAACAGCAATAACAGGGTGACATTCATCATCAGATGTGTGTGAGAGCATCGTTTCATTGTTCCTATTGTCATAGAAACAAGCAGGTACATTTTTAAGCTAGAATTTATTTGAATGCAAATTCAATAAAATTATATGTTGTAAGGTTTCTAAAAATTGTGGCAGGTCCTCCTGTAGAACCTCTGCCTGAATCCCTTTCAGAACTCCTGACAAAAGCCCATGCAGATGAGCTGTCAGCAGTAATCACTCATGAACCCCTCCTCTGACCCACCTAGCTTTCCATTGACATCTCCTGAGACCTTTGGAAAATTGGTATTGAGAAGAAAACCGATTGATTAATAGCAAGATGAAGAAAGATAAAAGAATAAAGTTGATTTTCATACTGCTGTTAATGATCATTGGCTGTTTTATTGTAAAAAAATTATATAGTGTTAAGAAAATTCGTAACTCAGCATTTTCTAAAACTTTTAAAATTTTAGAATCACATCAAATGAATTCAATTTTGATGCTCACTGATGAGAATCATTTACTTCGTTGGTGGTTCTATGGATATTTTCAAGTTTCTTGTGTTGGGGATTCTTACCTATATTGAGATTTGTTTATTTGACAGCATAATCATTGAAGTTCACTTTAAGATCCAAGCAGTAAACCCACTTGTCCTAAAAGTCACATGCTGTTATCTAGACAGATAGAAAGTAACAGCAAAATTCTTTCTTTCTCATCCCACTGGACATTTATCTTTGTGTGTTAAGTAACTTAACCATGAAAACAGCAGGGAAAATAATAATTCAAAAGAAGAACTCATTAATCTCTCTGACTCAGCAGCCAAAATCTCCCAGTTGAACACTAATCTAAATGCTGGTACATGATGATGTGGGGATGTATCATAAATCAAGGTTTTAAAAATCAGATATTCATAAGTGGACCAGGTAGACTCATTTTACTGTGGATCCAAATGACAAACATGTGAATTGAGCTTAAGTGATTAAATACAAGTTTTGTGGGCTCCTCATCTTTCTTTTTTTCCCATCCGGTTTCTAAATGTAGGAAGGAAGGGAGTCCTCAGGTTCCTCAAAGTACGCCCTAAGTAGAATCTCAAAAGGGGACTCTTGATTAGCTGATATACCCCAGTGCTGATTTACCTGGACTATGCTAGAGTCTGCAATCAACACAGCTTCCTGTTGGAACAAAAGATCAATGTGAAATTAGACTGAGTTCCCTCTTTGGAGGGCTGCAGTCTTCTGGAATAAACCCTATACTTAGATCCCTGTCTCCAATGAAGCAGGGATCATTGGAACAGTAAAGCCTGTCATGGAGTCACATGAATGTAGATAAAACCTAAAATGGCAGATCAATGATCATGGTTAAAAAAGGAACTTCAGTAATAAATTTCTTTAGGACAAGTAACCTACTTGAATGATATTTGAAAGACAGAAGTAAAAACAGATTGTTGTAGATAGAAATGTGTATTCTATATTTTTTTCTAATTTAAAAAGACTAACAGAGTTGATTATGTAAGATTTTTAAATCGCAGTCTGGCATATTTCTGCATGCTTGTAATCATTGTACTGGGGACCCTAAGGCAGGAGGATCAAAAGTGTTTGTGGCCAGGCTTAGCTAGTTTGAGACCTTGTCTCAAACTATATTTTATTGCAGAATGATGAAAGATTTGATGAAGAAAGTCTTAATATAAATAGACTGGGATAAATTGCTTACAATATAAACTCAATACAGTTTAATAAGTAAAAGACAAAACAACTCATTTGGAAAAACGTGGACAAAGAATTGGAAGAGACAACTCAGAAAAAAAATGGCACTGGCATGCAAAGATCTCACATACACATATATGGAAATATGTCTGCTCAACCTAACTGATCATTAAGCAATGAAATAAGAAGTTTTAATCTCTATAATATCAATTGTTAATCAGTAACATGGAGAAGTATGTACCTACATAGACTTATTGGAAAAGCATATTTTTGTAGGCAATTTGAAAGTATCACAATTTAAACATTGTATACTAAACTCATTTCTAGAAGTTTTTCAGTCAGGAATGCACCAGGATACAGCTTCAAATGTTGCATCTTGTGTGTCTCTCGGTTACCTAATGAGTAAATTAGTCTTCTGAGCATAAGAGTAACCCAACAGTAGGTAGAAAGAGAGAGAGAGAGAGAGAGAGAAATAAATTTAAAAAAAGAAAAAAGAAAGAAAGAGAAAAGGAAAGGAAAGGAAAAAAGAAAGGAGGGAGGGAGTAATGGAGGGAAGAAGGAAGGAAGGAAAGAAGGAAGGAAGGAAGAAGGAAGGAAGGGAGGGAGGAGAGAAAGAACAAAAAGAAAAGTTTGGTCAACACTGATGGATCATGCCTATAATTCTGGCTGAGATCTGAGGATCAAGGTTCAAGGCTAGCCTGGGCAGGATCTTATCTTCAATTAATCACCCAAAAGACAGAAGTAGATCTATGCCTCAAGTAGTAGAGTACCAGTCTTGAGTGAACAAAGCTAAGAGACAATGTTTAGGCCCTGAGTTCAAGCCCCAGTACCAACACACAAAAAAAGTCTTGATTTGCATAAATTTTGGAATAAAAGAAAAAAAAACAAATAGGTTCTGTGTTTCTCTGCTTTCTAGCAGAGAGCAGCAGCTGGGCTTTTGGCAACTAACTGTGGAAAGAAGAAATTAAATACCAAACGCAGGTTGTCAGTTCAGTTTTGTTTAGGAAGAGTAGATTAGAAAGAACTGGACTTTTCAGTTGATTAGGACAATGTGTATCCAGTGTTGAAGCTCTCAAGATCCTGAGCCTGGGTGACTTGGACTCAGTGAATTACCACTTACTATGATGTATCTACCACTGACTGAGATGTAACTACCACTGACTGAGATGTGACTACCATTGATTGAGATGTGACCTTAACCCTTCTGTACATCATCTTTACAATAAGCAAAGAAGGTTTCAAAATTAAAAGTTTGGTTTCAATATTGTATACTTCCTATGTTCTAATCCCAATTTATATTTATCACCTCATCTCCTGTTTTTTTCTCTTGAATTCAATGAGCTATACATAGGAAGTTTTCTTTTTATCTAATAGTCTTTTGAATTCTCATATCCCCCTACTTGTGGTGATTATCTCTGTGTTCCTCTGGCATCTTCCTCTCTTCTCCTATAATATACATACTTCTGCTGTTCTTTCAGTATTCCATTCCAATAATTTTCTTTCCTTTTATGTATCCTATGTCCTTTCTACTTCTGAAATCCAACTTAATTATTTATTTTTATTTATGGAGATCTCAATTAAAGGCCTGTTTGTTATGCTGGCTATAATTACCCCAACTCAACTCCTGGAAGATTTTAGTTCCCTAAACTAAACTGTCAATGAAACTCTCCATTTAGACATAGAAACTTAAGGGAGAAAAAGATAATTTTGGAAGATGTCAGGCACTTAACTTGGAAATCAAAACCAGTATGTGTGCATGCTTCATTCCATCTCACCTAAATTTAATTCCCTTTCTTCCTCAAATTTTGTTTTTGTGTCCTGGTGTTTTTTCTTGGGCATCTCATACAATCACTCAGATTCCTATATGGTATCATAGTCTTTATAGATGCTTCATTAAAATGTCCTCACCATTATTCAGCAATCATGTGCAGGTGTAAAAGCTTCCTACATATTCCTTCTGGGAGCTTCCCTGCTCCCTTTTCCACTACCAAGTACTTAATGGACAATCAACATTAAACAATTGAAAAACAAACTTGGAAGGGATGTGTTGCCTGTGGATTTGAGTATGGCCATGCACACTGGTACCTTGAACATCATTGTCAGCAGGCCAGCAGCTGCTTGCTGCCTGTGGTCTCTGTGACAAGCTGTAGAATTGTGGAAGTTAGCTTGCCCCTAGGCCTCAACTTCATTCAGGATTCAGACACCTAGGGCTCTGTGAGTAATTTGGGGGAGGAAGGGGATAGGGATGGAGCCATGAACTTTCTGACACAAACACATGAATTAGAGGTGAGGAAGAGGATTCTTAATTGTTACAAGTACATTAATTAGCATATGAATGCATTGTGTAGGGATAATGGGGGAAAATCTATAATTGTTACCAGATTACCAAGAGTTGTGTCTAAAGACAGATTAGAATCCCCAGTCCTGGGCTTCATGACCATAGGCAACTCCAGCTCATCAATCCTGAAGTTGAGGAGTCTCTGCTTCATAGTTTACACTAGTAGACCAAGGATTCTGCTTACCTGGGTATACGGGTTTGCATGAGCACAGGTAAACACCTGCTCCACGCAGGAGCCCTTTTAGGAAATATATACTGAGTGCTGAATATTTGCTGATCAAAATGGAATAAAAAAAGAATAAGACTTCAGTCATTCCTCAGAAAGGAGATATAATTACACACAATGTTCTGATTCCTCTGACATACTTAGATTATGATTTAAGACTAAGCCAGAGATCTTTACTGCATCTGTGACTCATCACCAAATGAAGGATATAAGCAGTCTCAGCTGCAAGCATTAGCTGACCTATGTGATTAGTAAGCTAGACTTGGGAAGACTATAAATAAGAAAAACTGGGAGTCTGGCCTGAGGTATAGGTAGACACCTTTTTATCCTTGTCTCACTTAACTATGCAATATTTTTAAAACATTTCCAAAACAAATTTTTTTCCTTCTTACTTATATTTCATATAATCCTAGCTACGCAGGAGGCTGAGATCTGAGGATCTAAGTCCAATCTAGTGGGATCAGACAAATCCAAGAGGGGTGACTAAAGTGATAAAGCACCAGACTTGAGCAGAAAAAGCTAGGCAAGAGCACAAGGCCTTGTATTCAATCCACAGTACTGGCAGGAAAAACAACCAACCAAACCCAAAATAAGTAGAGAACCAAGAAAGAGTGGAAATGCACAAACAAGAGCAGCCTCGGCAAACACCTGTCAGTGCTTGAGGCCATCAGTCTTCAGTCCCTCACAGAACACAGAACAGAGGGTAATATAATACAATGTAATTTATTCAGAAGTTAGTCTGGAGAAGCAGGTGAAATGGAAAGCAAAGGCGCCCAGACTTTGTTCTATGTGCCTTTGTGAGCCCTTAGTTTCAGTCAAGGCACTAAAATGAATGAGAAAACAAACATAGCCCTTGTGGGCAGTGCTCACACTTATTACAATTAAATAGTTTCGTAAGTGTTGGACTGCCTCGTCACCTTCCCATACCAGGGGCTGCACAGTGCCTGAATCACCAGGTGAGACTCCAGCTCAGGAGTGCTAGAAGCACTTAGCAAATAGGTTTTGAATGTGTGAGTGAATGAAACAATGAGTAAACTTTGAGGAGAAATCATACTGCCTAGTTTCACACTTGCTCTTTTGAGCTACCTTTTTCTATGGAGGATCCAGAATGGAGAACTGAGAGCAAGTGAGGGCACAGACAGATGTATTGCTGAGCTCCCTACCCAGGTAGATCTGGTCTTGTACATATTGAACTCCTTCACCTTGAGTGGAAAAATCTAGTATAGGGTTAACAACAGCCTGACTCTGCTGGTGTCATTCACTCCAATGATTAATGTATACATCAGGTATTTCCTTGCCAAAGCTCAGTTGGTTCAATCTAAATATTCTTTCAGAGAGGTCTTCTTAATTATAATGACATGGTATAAACATAGGAAGAAAGAATGTCAATTATCACTCTGTATAATAACAGTGCTAGTGTTCATGCACATAAATTATGAGTAAGTTTACTTATTTAGAAGCAGGAAAAGTGCTCAGTTTTGCAATTTAAAACTTTTGAATATGCTGCATTTAAAAATTATATCATTACAACCAGTAGAAGTTAGTAATCACCCCTGAAGTACATGTTCTTGAATAGTTGATGAACTCATCCTTAAATTCTCTTTTAAAAAAAAATCCCTTAAAAAAGGAAAATTTAAAGGCACCTATGTTATATTTATTTTTAAAATATTCCAGACTTATCCAGCCCAAGAAAACAGGATATGTAACAAATATAATCAAAATTGTTAGAATTGCATTTGCTAGTACCTAGTAATGCATACTGATTTAAATTTTTATAAATTAAAATGAAATTTTTACTTCCTTGTTCTCAATTGCCACATTTCAAGTACTCTGTTGTCACACATGGCTTGTGGATACCATATTGAAATGAGCAGTGCTAAAGAGAACACTTTCATCACAGTGGGAAGTTCTGTTGGACAATATTGTACAGGAAGAAAAATGACTATAACCCCAAATGAGCACTCGATTCAGTATACTGAGAGCTACTGGCATGAGTGTAGGATTTATTTTTAGAGCAGACATCTTTGCCCACGGTGATGAAAACACTTAAATGTGTCCTTGTTACTAGTAGACAATAATCCTATTCAGTGTTAAATCAAATCATGGCCACTAAATTAGAGAGGAAGCCTTTCATGCTTCTCAGAGCTTTATCTGTTTGAGCTAGTTGTCTTGTTTTGTTACTTTGTTCTAAACCAGCTGTTGTGTGGTTTTATAAAACGGACACTTGGAAAACAAAGAACTTCAAGGTATCAGCTTAAATCTGAATTCATCCTTCACTCTCTCATCTACTGGCTTTAAGTTCCTCTGTCTATAAAGGTGAGAATTCCTCACAATTTTTCCTGAGCTGTTGCTCCCACTCTGAATTCTGGATTTGAAGAGTGTGAATTAGAGGACTGTTTATAACACTGGGTCTGACAGTGCAGAAGGCCATAGTGGATAAAGATGCAGCCTAAGTTCATCCGCTACAGGGATTTCATCACATCCTTATTCTTTTTGCAGATTGTCTACAAAGCAGTCAGTTCATTTGATCCAGAAATAGATTTATCCAATCAAAGTGGAAGAGTTTCAAAACTAGGAAACGAAACTCACTTTCTGTTTTTTGGACTGTATCCGGGAACCACATATTCCTTTACCATCCAGGCAAGCACAGCAAAGGGCTTTGGACCTCCTGCAACAAACCAGTTCACAACCAAAATATCAGGTATTATATACATTCATTAATTATGCTTTTTTTTCCTCAGAAGCAGAAATATTGTACTTTTACATTCCTGATGTCACAAATACCAAGCTTGAGTCAAGCACCAGTAGTCCATGCCTCTAATCCTAATTACTCAGGAGGCTGAGATGCAAGAATTAGAGTTCAAAGCCAATCAGCAGAAAATCCATGAGACTCTTATCTCTTAGTTAACCCGTAAAAAGCCAAAAGTAAATGTGTGGTTCAACTAATGGAACACCAGCCTTAAACATAAAGCTAAGGGATCAGCTTCATTACCCCTTCCCCAAAGCCAAGCTTGCATAGCACATCTTTTTTTTTTTTTTGGTCGGTCATGGGGCTTGAACTCTGGGCTTGGGCACTGTTCCTCAGCTCTTCAGCTCAAGGCGAGCGCTCTACCGCTTGAGCCACAGTGCCACTTCTGGTTTTCTAGTGGTTTTTATTGGAGATAAGAGTCTCATGGACTTTCCTGCCTGGGCTGGCTTTGAACCACGATCCTTAGATCTCAGTCTCCTGAGTAGCTAGGATTATAGGCATGAGCCGCTGGCCCCTGGCTGCATAACACATCTTAATTATACACACATACCTCTGGATGTCTAAGGTCATCCATCCTGTGTTAGGACAAGGACCACTGTAATAGACTTCCCTGGAAGACTTAGATATGAGGCAGAAAGTTCCCTTAAAGCACTCTGATCCCCTTTGCAATCTCAAGACAGCAGAGCAGAATGTTTGTAAAACATGTGTCATGCTTGAGCCATGAGCTCAGCAGAAGAGCAGCCTGCCTTGGAACCTTCACTGTTAATAATTTTCCATTTGCAGAGAGTGGCTACTGCATACAGGATAGCACCAGGCACTTAGGGGCCCCAGCTTTCTGCTGGAAAGAGACTCAGTTATATCATCCAACAAAAGATATAATTTGGGAAATATTTCTGGGAATGTTCAACTGTGCATAAAATGTCTTTGTACTTCGGACTGGAGGAAATGAAGTTGCCATCTGGTATGGTATATATGTAACCACAATAAACAGATTTGTTTTTCTTTTTTCCTTTTTAAATTTTTCCTCCATCCTTTGGATGGGAATATGGAAATATTTAAGGGTTATTTTGTCTGTTTTTTTGGTTGGTTGGTATTTTTGTGTGTGTGCATGTTTTTTTTCTTTTTCTTTTTCTTTGTTGGTCATGGGGCCTCAACTCTGGGCCTGGGCACTGTCCCTCAGCTCTTCAGCTCAAGGCTAGCACTCTACCACTTGAGCCACAGCGCCACTTCTAGCATTTTCTGCTCATGTGGTGCTGAGGAATCGAACCCAGGGCCTCATGCATGCAAGGCAAGCGCTCTACCACTGAGCCACCTTCCCAGCACCATGTTTTTTTGTTTTTGTTTTTTTTTTAATTTTTTTATTGTGAAAATACCGTACAGAGGGGTTACAATTACATGAGCAAAGTAATGAGTACATTTGTCAAGCATTGTTGCCTCCTCCTTTGTTTCCCCTTACCATCCCTTCCCATATACCCCCCTCCACCCCCCGCGCCCCCCCCCACCAAAGTTGTCAAGTTCGTTTTCGATATAACATCTTGTACATCTCATTGTTGCAATGGGTCCACCTGTATCCCTATTTAAACAATTTGTTTTTTCCCTTCCCCTCCACAAATTATACCAACATCAAATACAGTGAAAACAGGGGTTATACCATGGGGCAGGGACATACAAAGCAACAAAGAAATCATCTTATAAATATGTTAGAAACAATAGCAAGAAAGAAAAAAACATTTGAGCCCTTATCTTGGGGTTCATTTCACCTAACATCAACTTATCTGACCTTTCTGCTTGTCTCAGACATATACTAGTTATTGCAAATAAGGGAAACCATGGGACCTATGATTCTTTGGACCTGGCTTACTTCACTTAGTATAATTTTTTCCAAGTCTTTCCATTTCCTAACAAATGGGGCAATGTCATTATTTCTGGAGGAATGTGGACAGAAGGGGACTCTACTGCATTGTTGGTGGGAGTGTAAACTTGTTCAGCCACTTTGGAAAGTAGTATGGAGGTTCCTCCAACGACCCCACATAGAGCTCCCTATGACCCAGCAATCCTGCTTTGGGGTATTTACCCAAATGATCACAAACAAGACCATACTAAAGCTACCAGCACAACTATGTTTATTGCAGCATTATTTACCATAACTAAGATATGGAATCAACCCAGATGCCCCTCAGTAGATGAATGGATCAAGAAAATATGGTGTATATACACATTTTTTTCATTTTTGTCTTTTGTTTTTTGTATTTGCAGGGGTACTGGCTTAATATCAGAGTCTAGGCACTATCCTTTAGCTTTTTATCTAAAGGCTGGCCCTCTACCACTTGTGCCACAGCTCTAATTTGGGGGTTCTTTTTTGGGGGGTCTTTTTGGAAGGGTATTAGTGGTTAATTGAAACTAAGAGTGTTATAGACTTTCTTTCCCGGGCTGGCTTTGAATCATGATCCTCAGAGCTCAACCTCCTGATTAACTAGGATTGTAGGTGTGAGTCACTGGCACCTTGCAGTATTTTAGTTTTAACTTTAACTGTTTTCTGTTTTGTGAGGAGTTGTCTTAGTCTATTGTCTCCATCACTGTTACAAAATACCTGAGAAAGAACAACTTAAAGGAAGATGCATTTATTTCGGCTAAGGTTTCTGAGTTTCAGTCCATGATTGATTGGCCCTGTTAATTTGGGCCTGAAAAGATGGAACACCATGGAGAGAACACCCAGTGGAGCCAAGCCACTCTCATCACTTTGGCTGAGAAGCAGAGAGAGATGGTTCTGGGACAAGGCATATCCTTAAAAGGCATATTCCTATGATTACTTCCTCTAGCTAGGCCCTACTTCCTGATGGCCCATTCATCCCCATATGATCCACCCACCTCTCATTTGCACTATTAGCTGGTAACCAATCCTTCAACACAGGAACCTTTGGAGGCATTTCATATCCAAACCATAAATGGATAGGAAGAGCTGGAGGAGAGTGAAGAGAGATACCATTCACTGTTACAACAGCAATATTCTGCTTAATTTATTTCCTAGCTTTATAAAAGTATAGAAGAGAAGAAATGTCCACAAGTAGACTATTATTAGTGGTCTGCTAGGTTGTGAGGGAGGAGATTTTGAAATGTTTCTTTTTAACTAATTATAAATCATGCGTATTCATTGGAAGACTATGCTTTTCAGCACAAATTTGACTGAAGATTTGATGCATATTTGATAGCCAGTGTGAAGCATTTGGTTCTGCGAATAATAGAGAGCAGGAAAGGAACGATCCTTGTGGGTTAGAAATGTTGAAGTTGTACAGATGAATAATCAGAAAAACCACTGGATGTGAAGTCAGGAGATCTGGGGTTTAGCTCTGATTATTGACGTACTTCATCTCTGATCTCAATAAAGCTAATATATTACTTATTGTGAAAGTATTATGATACTTTCCAAGATATTAAGATTTTAACTGATACATCAATTTGTCTTGGGACTTAAGAAGTATGTGCTAGTTTGTATGCTTCTAAGTAATTTTTAAATATTTTTCTAATGGAAAACATATTTCAGTAATCATTTTAATGAAGATAATCTTTTACCAAAAAGTATTCACTTTGCTCATATTTATTAGTTAAATATTCCAAGCAAAGTGAATCTGACCACTATTAATATTTGGGATTCAGATAACGCCATCCAAAAGCAAGGAAACTTGACATTTCAGTTAGCCTGTGTAGGCTCATCAAGAGAAGATATTTAATTTCAATATTAAAAAGTTGCCAGGCACAAGTCCCTGTTACTCAGGAAGCTGAACAAAGAGGATTAATGATGCTCAGGAAATAAGGGCCAGATTGGGAAAACAGTCAGACTTCATTTGGTACAAAGAAAACAAAATAGTTTCAGTTCATGAGATTTACATTCTATTTTCATGGATCTGAGAGAAGGAGTTGGTCTCACATCCAAGGAATAATTATGTGTTATGATTTGGAATTAATTTTGAATGGAAAAAATTGGTTAGGTGAAAAAGGAAATTAAAGCAGAACTAAGGAAGTGGAAAAACCTCCCATGCTCCTGGATTGAGAGGATTATCATAGTGAAAATGGCAATACTGCCAAAGGCCATATAAAAATTCAATGCAATACCTATAAATATCCCAACTACTTTCTTCAATGAAATAGAAGAAGCAATCACAAAATTCATATGGAACAATAAAAGACCCAGAATAGCAAAAACAATCCTTAGCAGAAAAAAAAAAACAGTGCTGGAGGAATATCACTACCAAATTTCAAACTACTACAAAGCCATGGTAATCAAAATACCTTGGTACTGCATAAGAACAGACCTGAGGACCAGTGGAATAGAACTGAAGACCCAGAAATGAACCTACAGACCTATAGCCATCTAATCTTCAATAAGGGAGCTTTAAAAAATAGTATGGAGGGAAGACAGCCTCTTCTGTAAATGGTGCTGGCAAAATTGGTTAAACATATGTGGAAAACTAAAGCTAGATCCTTATGTATCACCCTACACCAGAATCAACTCCAAATGGATCAAAGACCTTGAGATAAAAGCAGACACCCTGGGGCTGGGAAGGTGGCTCAGTGGTAGAACCCTTGCCTTTGAGGCCCTGGTTTTGGTTCCCCAGCACCACATAAGCAAAAAGAAAAAAGCCGGAAGTGGCCTTATGGCTCAAGGGCTGGAGCCCTAGCCTTGAGCTGAAGAGCTGAAGGACAGCGCCCAGGCCCAGAGTTCAGGCCCCATGACTGGACCCCCCCCACAAAAAAAGCAAAAAGGCAGACACCCTGACAATGTTACAGGAAGGGCTAGGAGCAACTCTAGGTCTCCTAGGCACAGGCCGAAATTTTCTTAATAAAGAACTAGAAACACAACAAATCAAAGAAATTCGGATTTCAAATCAAAGAAAATTGGATTGCATGAAACTTCAGAGCTTCTGCACAGCAAAGGACATAGCTAGCAAGATCAATAGAAAGCCCACAGATTAGGAGAAGATCTTCATTAGCTATACAAAAGACAAGGATATCATATCTAAAATACATTTAGAATTCAAAAAATTGAATCCTCTAAAAACGAATCCTCAAAGAAACAACAACCTGAATAAGTGGGCTAAAGACTTAAAGAGAAACTTCTCTGAAGAGGAAATAAGAATGGCCAATAGACACATGAAATGCTCAACTTATCTAGCCATAAAAGAAATGTAAATCAAAACAACATTGAGATTCCACCTCACCCCAGTTAGAATGGCTATAATAACAACAGATGCTGCAGGGGATATGGCCAAGAGGAAAAACTACTGCATTGTTGGTGGGAGTGTAAACTTGCTCAACCACTTTGAAAAGCAGTATGGAGGATCCTCAAAAATTCCACATAGCGCTCCCCTATGACCCAGCAATCCCACTTTGGGGTGTTTAACCAAACTATCACAAACAAGGCCATACTAAAGCTACCAGCACAACTATGTTTATTGCAGCATTATTCACCATAGCTAAGATATGGAACAAACCCAGATGCCCCTCAGTAGATGAATGGATCAAGAAAATGAAATGTCAGAAAGAATGACATGGCCCCATTTGTTAGGAAATGGAAAGACTTGGAAAAAATTATATTAAGTGGAGTAAGCCAGACCCAAAGAAACATAGGTCCCATGATTTCCCTTATTTGCAATAACTAGTATATGTCTAGGACAAGCAGAAAAGTTCAAAAGCTATGTACATATGACCATATAAGAAGATGCTAAGAGAAGTGAACCTCAAGATAGGGACATAAAAAGTTTTATCTTGGTTGCTGTTGTTTTTAGTGTTCTTATAATGTGCTATATGATTTTTTTTGTTTCTTTTGTATGTTCTTCCCCCATGGTATAACCCGTTTTCACTATATTTGATTCCAGTGTCCTGAATTGTAAATATACATTTTTCTAACTTGGGGAGGGGAAGGGAAATAACAAAATGATGAAACAAGGATAAGGATTGACCCTTTGTAACAAGATGTACAAGACACTGTGTTGAAAATGAACTTTACAACTTCGAGGTGGGGGAGGGAGGAATTGGGTAGGTGGGGAGAAGAGGGGATGGGGGAAAACAGGAGGGGGTAACAATGCTCCATAGGAAATGTACTCATTACCTTGCTCATATAACTATAACCCCTCTGTATAGTATCTTTACAATAAAAATATATTTAAAAAAAGAATTTGCCTAGCAAGACTGAGTAACAAAGTATGTCTGTTACATAAAAGCATTTGTATATGTCATTAAAAAGAACTATTTTTTGGAGAAAGAAACAGTTTCCAGCTTCTCCATCAGAGCACCTCTTTCTGTGGGTATAGAAAACAGTGCCTCCCCCTCAAAGACACATCACAGATCCACATGGTGATTTGTCTTGTCCAGAGTGGGGCATAATTACTGAAAAGAGCTGGTACGTATGGTGAGAAGAAAGAATGTCAGCAAATGGCCTGGAAATTGCTTTCACTTTGGGAAGAGAACTAATATTTGTGAAATTCTATTTGCTTGTAATGCTCTTTTTGTGTCTCTGTTACTTTGAACTGCATATCTGTGGAGAATAGTTTCTCATCTTCTGCCTAACTCTGATGGTTCTGAGGTTATTACACTGATTTAAATGAAACACATCCAAAAGATCATTCTTCAGTTCCCATGTGTGTCTGGTTATTACCAGCTCCAGTAAGTCCCTGTGGCCTCCACCGCTTTCCTTAAACTCTAGGAGGGTTCTTGTGGATGGTAGTCATGGTGGTCGTAGGGCTTGAACTCAGGGCTTGAGCACTGTAACTGAGCTTTTTCCCTCAAGGATAACCCTCTGCCAGAGCCACAAGCTACTTCTGGTTTTCTGGTGGTTAATTAGAGGTAAGAGTCCCATGGTCTTTCCTGCCCTAACTGGCTTTGAACCGTGATCCTCAGATCTCAGATCTGAGTTGCTAGAATTAGAGGCATAAGCCACTGGTGCCTGGCCCAGGAGGGTTCTTTGATATGTGAGAAACCTTGACTTTGATAGAAAAACAGTAAAGTTCAGTTTTATGGTCCTATTGATTATTTCCAAACTTAAGCATGTGTTTAAATCTTTTAGTGGCTATCACATGTTTATACTACAGTGCACCAGTTACAGATTTCCAGCTTGATAAATGTTTTTGACAGCAGACTACATCCATTTAGCCAGGATCCCAATCACAAACCAGAACTTCACTAAGACCTCCGATGTGCCCCAGTTTCAACTCAGGATCAGAGAAGGCAACTCAGTATGTGCTAATTTTAGCAGCTTCTCATTTTTCTGTGTAGACAATACTCATCAACCTCGCTTGTGGTCAGTTAATAGCTGCAGTTTAAAGTAAGAGTATTAAAAACTTACTGATTTTTTTTTTGTAAAAGAGTAAATTACAAAGATAAGCCATAAATAATGTGTCTACCATCTAATGCTTTTTTTCCTAGCACCGTCTATGCCAGCTTATGAACTTGAGACACCTTTAAATCAAACAGACAACACAGTGACAGTCCTGCTGAAACCTGCACAGAGCAGAGGCGCACCTGTCAGGTATGGAGCAGGGGAGGGTAGGCTGGCTCTAGAGAGAAGAAAGAAAAAATGGTGTTGATTTCTCCAATATTTTTCCTAGGGATTTGCTACAAACTTCAATCTGCATGTACAGTCCTGTGTTGTTCTGATTAAAGTGAGTTGTTCTTTGGAAGCTAAAGGAAAAAACACTGGTTTGTAGAGGAGGTCTTTACTTCCCACTGGTGTTTGCTTGCCGCAGTTCATTTGCCTAAAGGCAGACAACATTTTGGTCTTGAGCTCCTTTCTCTTCCCCTCCATTCTCTCTCTTTTAAAGTGGACCTTTTAATATGTTTACTTAGATTTTTATATCATTCAACTTCAGAAACTGGCTACTCAATTGAATATTTAATTTAGGATTATTCTCATAATTTTTTATTTGATTCTAGAATTCTTTATTTTTATTATGTATTTATTTATTTATTTATTAGCCATATTGAGATTTGAGCTCAGGGATTTGTGCTTGCAAGGCAAGGACTCAACCACTTGAGTCATGCCTCCAGCTCTTTGCTATGATTATTTTTGAGATAGGGTCTCGCTTTTTACTTAAGCCAGCCCAGGACCATGATTTTCTTTTATACTACCGAATATAGCTAAGATTATAGGTGTGCACCACTACATTCTCTTTATTGGTCTAGGTGGGGTCTCAAAAACATTTTTTGACTTAAACCATGATCCTACTGATCTTTTAAGTAATTAAGATTACAGGAATGAACCAAACTACCAAAGAAATTTTTACTATTTTTTTTTCTTTTTTTTTTTTTTTTTGCAGAGAAGGGTTTAGGTGGTATTGAGAATTAATCTCAGGGCATAGCACTTTGTAGCCCAGTGTTATACAACTTGATCCACAGCATTAGTCCTTTTAATTTTAGTATGCTTTTCACATAGAGTCCCTCTAAAATGTGTGTCTAGGCTAGCCTTGAACTATAACCTCCTAATTCTACCTTCCCATAGTCTGGATTATGGTCACACACCACTATATCTGGCTGATACTTGTTTTCTAAAGAGGAACAAATGCTTGTAAAGAGTATTGTAAAGTCTTTATTTGAACAGATTTAAGTTTATTACCAATATCTAGGCCCAATTTCTCATTCTATTATGATTTACATAACTAAGAATTATAAAGTGTAACTTTTATAGTGAATGCATAAATTAAATTATTCTTCCTAGAAAGGAGCAAAAGAATGGCAGAATAATCCTGAGTATATGCTTGTCAAAAGCTTATTAACCTGAGAAAATGAAATTTCTACTTGTTTCACAGATATTTCAATATTTTACTTTTGTCATCAGAATGGATTCTCTTCCACATAATCTATTATTGCGAATAGCACCAGGTAACTTTTCCATTCATAGCCCAGGCTGTGTACAGTTGGTCCATGGTTCCTTTTAGAACTATATTGCATCACATTTTCTCTGCAATGACATAGGACAAACAGTTGGGCTTTTTCCAGTTAATAACATATATGCAAGTGTAAGCTCATAACACCAAGTAGCATCAGGTTAGGGTAGAATCATGGGAATTTTTATCTGTAAATTCACAGAATTCTGTGAATTTACTGTTTAACTATGCAACATGATACCTTTTGTAAGCATTCGAATTTGCTGTCATAGATGCAGTTTGTAAGAACTATGAAAGAAGGCAGAGCTGCACTATCTGGGTTTGAGATGGCATTACTACTGAAAAGAATGATGTGCTTGCTACTCGTGTGGCTGCCTGTGTAGATCTGTGCTTGTTGAATGCTTGCACTAAGCTGTATGATCCATTGCACACATTCCTCAGTCCTGACTACAAAACAGTTGTGTCTATACCCTGGGGTCAGAGTTTTTTTCATTTCAAAAAGTTCATTGTAGGGGCTGGGAAAGTGGCTCAGTGGTAGAGCACTTGCCTTGCATGCCTGAGGCCCTGGGTTCTTCAGCACCAGATAAGCAAAAAGAAAAAACCCGGAAGTAGCACTGTGACTCAAGTGGTAGAGTGCTAGCCTTGAGCTGAAGAGCTGAGGGAGAGTGCCCAGGCCCCATGACCGGACCCAAAAAAAAAAAAAAAGTTCATTGTACATTAAATAAAAATTTATACATTGACCAGAGCCTTGGGAACAGTATTTTTTGGAAACATGTTAATGATTACCCAGATTCAGTGATAGATAACAGCCATGATTGGTACAGTGGTGGGAGGACTTTTATTGTGAAGAATTGCAATAACAATCAGAAAGGTTGAAGGTCACCTGGTATTACCGACTCCCAGCTGAAAGAAGCAGAAGTCCTAATCAGTTTTTAAAAGTAGCCAGTTATGGGCTGGGAAGGTGGCTCAGTGGTAGAGTGCTTGCCTAGCATGCATGAAGCCCTAGGTTTGATTCCTCAGTACCACATAAACAGAAAAAGCCAGAAGTGGTGCTGTGTCTCAAGTGGTAGAGTGCTAGCCTTGAGTAAAAGAGCTAAGGGACAGTGACCATGCCCTGAGGTCAAGTCCCAGGACTGAAAAAATAAAAAAGTAGCCAGTTACTCTCTGTTCTCTTGTGTTCTTTTTACATATTTAAATTTTTTTGTTGTATTTTATCCTCAAATCCTTTTACTCAGATTCTATCCATGTCTATTAGACTTTACCATGTCTATGTTTTGAAGGAATTTCTCTTTGGGCAATCTCTTTCTGTCTTTTTAAAGTATCCAGTGCCTTGCAAACTACCATTCAGATTTTCTGCTATGCCTTGGTAAGACATTCTTTTTTTTTTTAATTGTGAAAGTACTGTACAGAGGGGTTACAATTACATGGGCAAGGTAATGAGTACATTTCTTATCAAGCATTGTAGGCTCCTCCTTTGTTTCCCCTTCCCATCCCTTCCCATCCTCCCCCCCCCCCGGCTCCCCCCAATCCTCCTCGCTCCCCCCCCCCAAAGTTGTAAAGTTCATTTTCGACATAGCAACTTGTACATCTCATTGTTGCAATGGGTCCACCTGTATCCCTATTTAAACAATTTGTTTTTCCCCTTCCCCTCCACAAATTATACCAACATCAAATACAGTGAAAGCAGGGGTTATACTGTGGGGGAGGGGCTAACAAAGCAACAAAGAAATAATCTTATAAATGTGTTAGAAACAATCGCATGAAAGAAAAAAAAACATTTGAATACATATCTTAGGGTTCATTTCCCTAACATCACCTTATCTGACCTTTTCTGCTTGACTCAGACATATACTAGATATTGAAAATAAGGGAAACCATGGGACCTATGTTTCTTTGGGCCTGGCTTATTATTTAGTTTTATAAACTTTGTTGTTTGAAGCGGCTTTAGGACCTTACTAGTTAGTTAACTTACAAATGTCCTCAGATGTTCTATTCTTGTTTCTATAAAAAAAAAGAAGGAAAACAGAAGATTGTAATGTTTATCAGAGTCCAAGCTACCTGGATGACATCTACTTTTACTTCATTTCACCATGGCAAAATCATTTCTGAAGTCAGCTGAAATTGGGTCCCATTGTACACACTAATATACAATTATTATAACACCCTGCCTTCCAAGACCATTGCAACACTTCTTTGGTTAAATATTACCTCATTAATTGAAATTTCCAGGACCACTTTGCATTCCAACTATATTGCTGCTTCTTGAACACACAGCTCTAGCATATTGAGATTAATATACTTGTTATCTGTCCATAATTCAGATTGCTAGAATCAGGATTGGCACTCCTGAGAAACTATTCAGTACGCATTACAGGGAAAGCCACTATGGATACCACCATACCACCTCAGTAGGAAGAAGACCTGTCTACCTGTTGTGTGTGTGTGTGTGTGTTTGTGTGTGTGTGTGTGTGTGTGTGTGTGTGTGTACACCAAATGTACCAATACTGGAGCTTGAAGTCAGGGCCTCACTTCTTGTCTGGAACTCGACCGCTTAAATCATACTTTCACTTGTAGATCTTTGTTGGCTAATTGGAGTTAAGAGTCTCATGAATTTATCTGCCTGGGTTGGCTTCAAACTGCAATACTCAGATCTTAGCCTTCTGAGTAGCTAGGATTACAGGTGTGAGCCACCAGTGCCAGGCAGATGGCTATCTTAAAGTGAGCAAATTATCATGGTATAAATAAGAGAGAGAAAATTAACTCAACCTTAACTGTCAACGTTTTTTGTTCTCTTTCATCTTCTTTTGAGCAGAAGAGTGTATGTTCTCTTCAAGAGATTTATTACATATCACAACATAATTATGTATTGAAGAGATGGAAGGCCAATATATAGAGAAGATGAGTTTGGGGGAAAAATCCATCATCCTCTCAAAATGAATGAGGTATATTACAATTCTTAGTTTCATTTAATGTTTAGAGAAATGAGCACTCTGATTAGAGGATCTTATGGACCTAAATTATAAAGCCATAATGTAGATTAAAACATTTGAACACATCTGGAAGTTTGCAAAATGCTCATGTAATCAAACTGCAATACAAGAAAGTCTCTCCCAAATGATAAGACAAACACTAGAAGAAAGAAGGGAAAGGGATTTGAACATCTGTTTGCTTTCTTGAATTTTGCACAGCATTATGTGTTCAAAAAGACTGTCATTGTATGATTTCTAAAGCTTGTTCTCTCAATTGATTTGATTTTGTTTGATCCACATTCACTGGGGTTGGAAATTCATTGGTGTTGGTACTTCATTTACACATTTCACTAGGTGAGGTGCTTGTATATTGATTCCATGCAAATACTCAGCTTGTTTAAGGCAGATTCCTGAAATTGCACTCAGTTCTCACTGCAAATAATTATTGTCTTTTTAATGATCATCACATCAGCTTTGTCACATAACATTATCTCAATCTTGATGTGGCCAACAAGAACATAAATTCCGTCATTCTAACCAGTAAACTAAGTTAGAAGTTTAATGTCTATGATTTATTTCAACTTTTTTCCTTTAATAAGACAGGGAAATACCTTAATATTCTTTTACTCATTGAGGTGACTTCGTTTCTCCTTCTCTCCATGGTTCGTTCTATGTAG